GAAAGAAAGAAAGAAAAAGAAAGAAAGAAAGAAAGAAAGAAAGAAACCGAGAGAGAAAAACAAGAAAAGGAGAGAAGGAAAGAAGGCAGACAACTTGGTAGGAAAAGGAGAAGGAGGGGAAGGAAGGGGATTACAGTTATGCACACAGTTATGCAAATCATAATATCTTTCCAATTGCTTTATGACTGTTCACCGTACAGAGTCCCTTCCTTGAGCCAGGCAGCTGCAGAACATGAAGGAAGGAATGACCTTCGTCGACTGTGAACAGCGACGCAACATGTACAAGAAAGCCACAAGGCAAAGGAAACACAAGGAACTTTGGGCGTTTCATTTTTTTATTATTATTGTTTTCAATGCAACATCTCCATTTCTTTTTCTTTTCTTTTTCTTTAAGTTGGGCTGCTCCTCCAGATTAGCTGCCGGCTCTTGGAAGCATTTTACGCAAACCCACCACGGAGGGGCTTAACCACAACGTAACCTTTGATCTGGAAGGACAGAGCTCTCCAGCTAATGAGGGCTTTGGCTGCAAAGACATTCCTTCTCAGTAAAGTCACTTCTTGGGGTGTCAGCACCCGGTCGAAGAAGTACAGATCGGTGAGTTCCCCCACCAGAGACTCTTTGCTGTCAAACCCACCCCCCATGGTATCTTGATCCTGGCCCAGGACGATGGACGCTTTCGGACTCACGGCGTAACCTTTCCCGATTCCCTTCCTGGGTAAAAGGACCCCATTCAGCCACAGCTCCACGATCCCCGTGGAAGACTCCCACGCCACGCAGGCGTGTTCCCACCCGCAGGTGGAGGCCGGGGTTTTAAAGGCCACCTTGGACCTTCCCAAATAAAACTCGTACTCGGTGGGGCTGGCCCTGTGGACGAGGATGTCGTTGTCGCTCGCCGCGGTGGCGTACGAGAACGTGCTGTAGCCCCGCGTCAGGTCTGTGTACACCCTCTCGCAAATGGTGAAGCTGGTCAGGGGCTTCTTCAGGTTGGCTTCCAGCACCACGTGCGCCGTGTTGGAGGCCTCCGGGAACACAAAGATGTGGTTTTTGAGATCTGCAGATGGAAACATAGACAATAAGTTGAACTGCCGGCAAGAGGGAGAGTTGAGCTGTGCGGGTAACATGCCAGTTTGCTTCTCGCATGGCCCGGTTTCAAATAATAGACCAATGTGGGCCGTAGCTCTCCACCATTCAGATAAACAGTCTTTTCTTAAAAGCCTCCAGTGTTGAAGCACTCACAACTTCTGAAGACAGGCTGTTCCACTAATTAATTGTTCTCACTGTCGGGAAATTTCTCCGTAGTTCTAGGTTGCGTCTCTCCTTGGTTAGTTTCCATCCGTTGCTTCTTGTCCTGCCTTTTTGGTGTTTTGCAATATAGTCAGGGGTGGGATTCAAATGTCTGAACAACCGATTCTGTGGGTGTGGCCTAATTTGTGGGTGTGGCTTGGTGGTCATGTGACTGGCTAGGCATGGCTTGTATATAAATATTATAAATATTTATGTAAATATTGCATTTTTTAATTTAAAAAAGAGCAACTTTTACCTAAAACCAAGGCCAAGCAGGCAGGCAGATTGAGTTGCTCGCAGAATCACAGATTCACTCAGAGATCTACCTTTCTGCAATCTGCTATCTGAATCTGCACTGAAAAATAGAAGCTTCAGTCCTAAGGAAGGTTCAGCTCTGCTTTTAGATTAGCTAGAAAGCAAGAAATCCAATGATTTCTGGCACAGCAGAAGAGCTGATGCCTGAGGGGGGGGGGAAGGAAAAAAATAGCAACTTACCAAACGCAGACACGTTTGATGGCACACATGCCAGGTAAAGAGTGAGTGGGCAGGGAGGCGGGGGAGGGGCGGGACCAGCCAGTGGCACGATTTGCCAATTCTCCGAACTGGGCAGAATCTTAACCACCGGTTCTATAGAACTGGTCCGATCAGGTAGCATCCCACCCCTGAATATAGTTTGACTGCCTCATCTTTGTAAAGGTAAAAATTCCCCTCGCACATCCGTGCTAGTCGTTTCCGGCTCTAGGAGGCGGTACTCATCTCCATGACAAAGCCGAAGAGCCAAGCGTTGTCCGAAGACGTCTCCATGGTCATGTGGCCGGCATGAGTAAACGCCGAAGGAGCATGGAACGCTGATCCTTCCCACCAAAGGGGTCCCTATTTTTCTACTTGCATTTTTTTTAACGTACTTTTGAACTGCTTAAGTTGGCAGAAGCTGGGACAAGTAATGGGAGCTCATTCCATTCTGTGGCGCTAGGGATTCGAACTGCCAAAGTGCTGACTTTTCTGATCGACAAGCTCAGCGTCTTAGCCACTGAGCCACTGCGTCCCTACTCTCGTCTTTGTAGGAGCCCCTCAAATATCGGAACAGTGCTATCCTGTCTCCCCTAGCCCTTCTTTTCATGCTGTAGAAAGTTAGCACCCACCTCCCTCCTAGAAGAATGAAATATTCTAGGAAATATTAAAAAAGGCAGAATATTATATTTCCCTGGATGAGAAAAGGAAGCATGTTTTTAAAGACGAAGAACAGACATTTTGGTGCCTGTCTATCTACGAAACAAAAGAACTTCAGCTCCGGGGTGATTAGATTATCCTTCAGGGCAAAGCCATGCAGACACGACAGGAATTCTTCTTCAATTGCATTAGCCCAAGGTTCAACCAAACATAAATCAGACAGAACTACAAAGTTAGCTATGATCCCTGCAGAGCCCCATGGAGTCTGACAGCAACCGATAGAATATATGTTCTTGCACAGGAACAGGAAGCTCAAGGGCAAGGTCCAAGAGAGGGTATAAATCACCCCCTCTCTCTACTCCATGTGTTCAACTGCATCCATGTTCATCCATAAACCATCTTTCCATCGGCCTCCATATTTCCAGTGTCTTTCTCCCCGCTTGGAACTAAACCCAGATGGATATTTCTTCCAACGACACTACTGGACCTAACCCAATTCCTGCAACCATTCTCCGCATGCTTTTACCTCCAGCCCCTTAATCATTCTCGTTGCTCTTCTCTGCACTCTTTCCAAAGTCTCAACATCTTTTTTGTATGTTGTGGTGGCCCAAAACTGGATGCACCACAATGTGCAGCACCCCAAATGCAACTGACCTCTCCGGGAGGGGGGGTAATCTCCTATTGCCAAGATGCCACTCACCTTGTTGAGCCAAAGCTCCCAGCAAAGTGCAGAGAATGAAGAGAAAGGGACGCAGGCTTTCCATGCTGAAAAGCTGGTTAAGCACAGATCTCTTCTGGATCGATCTGTTCCCCAGATGTCTCTCGTCTTCCAACGACCTCTCACGCTTGTGCGTATCCAACATGCATGTGTGAAATTTATACTTGCTTGGAGGAAAAACACAGCCAGATTATCTTATCTGGCTGGTTCCAGCAGGATATTTTTAAGAACCTCAGAAGTGAATTTCATGTTAAGCGACATTCCTCATAATTCTATAAAATGCTTTTTTTTTTTTAATCCATGGCGCCAATAAAGCCGCTTGCAATATAAAACCACATTTTTTTTCTCCTCTACTAACTTGTTTATAATCTGGTTAATCGGTTTAAACTATTTGGCTTTTTTTTTTTTAAAAAAAGAATTCTATTCCTTGTAGATAAAGGGTTTAGCGGCCTGCGTCGTTTTATTTATCTTTGCTGATTTGTGATAAAATGTTTCTTCACTTGAGCCTCCCAACAATTTAATGGGAATTGTATAAAATGCGGGTCAGGGATTGCCATAAAGATAAAACCAGAAGGTAATGCACACACACCCCACGCCCTCCACATATGCGTGCACAATCCCCACCCACCCCTGCTGCCCCCTTACCTCACAACTGATTTTTGGCCAGTTTGAGGCCTTTTTCAGCCTCCAGAGGAAGGTTTCTGCAGGTTTTGCAGGCCGAAAACTAGGCCTGTTTCATCATTTCCGTTATTTTTGGAAAAACAGGAAGTGACGAAATGGGCCTAGTTTTTGGCCTGCAAAGCTTGCAGAAGCCTGCAGAAGCCTTCCTTCCTCAAGCTTCTGGGAGGCTGAAAAAGGCCTCAAACTGGCCAAAAATCAGCCGTGAGGCACGCGCATGCCCAGTGAGGTAAGTTTGCCTGCAGCTCACGTGCCGGCATGAATGGCTTTGCATGCCACCTGTGGCGTGCGTGCCATAGGTTCGCCATCACGGATCTAGTGTATCATTGCACCTCGTTCTTGTCGGTGTTATTGCTATTTCTGTGCTGATCTTTTCCAAAATCCTATATCAGTCATTCTACAGAAGAGGTAGTCCTCGACTTACGACCACAATCGAGCCCAAAATTGACGTGGCTAAGTGAGAAATAGGGTTCAGTGAATTTTGTTCCGTTTTACGGCTTTTCTTGCCACGTCCGTTAAGTGAATCCCCGCCATCGTTAAATGAGCCACAGGGTTGTTAAGTGAATCTGGTTTCTCCGTGGACTTGGCTTGTCCAGAAGGTCGCAAAAGGGGATCATATGACCGCCCCAGGACTCTGCAACCATCATAAATGCAAGTCTATGGTTAAGCATATTCGAATCTAAATCACGTGACTATGGGGAATGCAATGGTCAAAAGTCCCTTTTTTCAGTGCTGTTGTCATGCCCTTATTGGAGTCTGATGCTGAAGGGGAGATTGAGCAGCTGACAGGGAGTGGGAGTGTGGCTCCGGTGGCTGTGGAGGAAACTGGGGAAGGGCACAGTCCAGGGCCATCCCCTCTTCATCCTAGGGCATGCAGGGAGGAACAGAGAAGGGAGCAACATGGGTGGCATGGCTTATGGGGGAGGAAAGGGCCCTGATTCCCTTCATTAGTTGCAGCTGGAAGAACAGGATATAAGAGGGGCATTTGCACATAGCTCCCTTGCTGGAAGCAAAGCGTGCATTATCTTTGTCAAGGCTTATCTGGGTTTTGGTATTCTCCCAACTGTGGGTGCTGCATTATCCTTTGAAAGTCTGCAATTTATCATCCTGGCCTGCCGTGTTAATTACTTCAGTGTGGTTTGTGTTGTTGTTTTTTTATTTCTAATTATCTTTACTTTAGGTTCGGACTGTATCTCTTTCCTTCGTAGACTGTTTTATGGAAGAGTTTGATCTCCAGCCGAGGATAACTGGACATTGGGGCCAAGTTGGAGGCATTAAAGGGAAATTATTCTATTTTTGTGACTTTGTTATTTTTGTGTCATGCCCCGGGTCATCACAGCTAACTTCGAACGGTCACTAAGTGAACCCATTGTAAGTCGAGGTCTACCTGTATTCTTGGGGTACTTTTTCAGCTGGAAGAAATTAAAAGAAACATTCAACGTAGCATGACTAAGCGGCTAATTTTATTGCGAGGAGATAGATATCAATCGTGATCTACTTCAGCTATTTGCAATACATTGCAAAACTATCCATTTTTTTCTCCACTGCTTTCTTTTTCCCCCCCTATTTTTCTCCTTTTTCAAACTTTTCAGAAACTCAAGAAACCTGGTGCAAACCCTCTTCCACGCGGACATCGCCCCAAACCGTATAATTCAGGGCTTTCCAGCTGACCAGAGAATTCGGGACCTCATTATTTTTCTTTACCAAATTAATTTCGTCAGGTTTCAAGACTCGCAGCCACATGTTTACATCTGCCATTTCCCCCACAAAGCTTTCCCTCTTCCCCCAGGAATCTTGGTTGTGCCCCAGAAAGATGGTTCCGTTTTGGCCGATCTTGTAACCCGGTTTCATTACGAAGCGAGGGAGGAGTTCGCCATTGTGCCAAAAATAGACCACTCCACTGGTGGAGTTCCATGCCACGCAGATGTGCTGCCACTCCGAAGTTAACACCTTCCGAGTCACAATAATCTGTGTCATCCCACCTATTTGAAGGTTGATCTGGCTGGGGTTGGGCTTGATGATCTGGAAAGCCTTGCTGTTGGGCTTGGTGGAGTAAGAGAAGAGGATATAGTACTTGGCCTGGAGGGAGCTAAACCTCATGCAGACGGTGAAATTCGTCACGGGATCGGGAATGGAGGCTTTCAACTCCACGGCGGCCTTCTTGTTCGCGGCCGGGAAAACGAAGACCTTCTTCTCGAGGTCTTCTGGAAGGAAACAAAAGGCTTCTCCATTAGCAAGACACCTGCCTAAGATTGGGGAGTGGGAGAAATGAAGGAGAGCTGCCAGCAACACACAGATGGACAGATAAGAGGCATTTGAGCCCTGAGCAAGTAAGCGGGAAAAGCTATCGGACAAATTCCCCCCTGTTTTGACAAGGGTCAGGGCGTTGATTAGGTGCCCCAGCCATTATTTCTTTGGATCCAGAAAAAATAAGCACACCAGCTTTAAGAATAGAATAGAATAGAATAGAATAGAATAGAATAGAATAGAATAG